TATAAAAAGGAGACGGGAACGGACCTAGTAGTGAGTAGTTCCAGCCTGGACGTCGGTTCCCCCGCACTGTTCCGCAGTGTACCTTAGCCCACACCCAATAACAACCACTCACTTGCTTCACAGCACTTTACTTCTAACCCCTTTGCAGCTTAAGTCATTAAGCTCGTGCTTTATACCCTTCTCAAAGCGACTCTATCCTCCTTCGCGAGCTCACGCTCTGTAGAAAGTTGATAGCTAGCCTTGGACCCATTGGCAAATTGTCGTCCCAGCTGAACATTTTACGCCTCAACACATTATTGTCCCCGCCAAATGAATCCAAGGAACGGCGTCGAAGCCTTCCGCAGGAGATCGCACTTGTGTAATCCACACAACCTCCCGCTCGATCATTAGGGGGAAAAGCGAGAGAGGAAGCAAAGCGGAGACTTCGTACTGAAGAGCACCAGTACTCCGACCAGATAAAGGAAGGTTACAGGTCCTCAACCGGTTTATTCACACACACACACACTCTCTACGACCATCGTCCTGTTGGGACGACCAACCCTCCTTTATCACCACCAACCCAAAGGGCGATCCAATAAACCTTGCAATCCCCTAAAAATCATACTCAGAATCCCCTAGAGGACGAACAAGCTGTTGCCAGTGTAAACCAATTCACACACCAGCACCGCAGTCCCAATCACAACTGGAGCCCACCGCGAGGGGATTTTTTGTTGTTTTTTTTTCCAGAGAAAGGCCTAATTCGCCATTCCTACCAAAACACGAGCCGCTTCGAGGCATAACGTGCAGCAGGAGATAACCCTTTCCAAAAACAACCCCCTAAACCCGAATCATCCCGACCGAGCGAACCCGCTCCAGTCCCCAATTGTCGAACCACCATCCCAGGATATTTCCTCAGCCGAATCCATGCCCTTAACCGAGCTCTCCCCGGACGACTCACTTGACTCCATACCTCCCATCAACACCGAACCTTCCAACTCGATCACTCTCTCGACTGAATCCAGCGTCACTCCTTTCCTGCCACCTGCACCAAAGAAGAAGATGAAGACATTACCCAGACGCACGGCCTGCGGGGCCCCCGAATTTGACGGGAAAGCCTTAAACCTCGCCAGATATTGGGAGGATGTGGAGGAGTTAGCCGAAGCCCTAGAAAGAGGCACGGACCCAGAGAGGATAAAAATTGCCATGCGATACATTTCCAGAGAGGATGAAGTCCTCTGGAAAGCGTGCAATCAACCGGGTCCACCACCGGCCACCTGGGCCGAATTAGACCAAGGTCCAGGAGTTGTATCCGGGGTCCGACGGCATGAGGATGTTCACACTGAAGGATCTCCAGACCCTCCTCAGTGAACGATCACTCAAGAAGATCAGGGACAAGGATGATTTCTCCGAATATCACCGGAGATTCCGCACCATTGCATCGCACCTCCTGGCCGAAGGAAAAATGTCCGCGATCGAGGAACAGAGGGAGTTCCCGAAAGGAATGGACGAGCAGTTCCGCAACTGCATTTATCAGAGGCTCCAAATCGTTAAACCGCACCATCCAAGCGATACACCATACACCCTGGAGGATATGGTCAAAGCGGCCAAACACATATTGGACAAACCAGCAGATGCTGGAGGAGATGGGGCGGATACCTCCTTCATCAAGAAGGAGATGGTTGATTTGGGGGAAGCCTTCGCCAAGATGAACACCAGATATCATGTCGACATGCAATCGCTCCAGCGGGCTGGTGGGAATATTCCTGGCCAGCTGACTCGTCCGACGTACCCCATGTACCAGGCAACCGTGCTCGAGACGGTAGCACCTCCGGTGTAAAGAGGCCTGAGCCGCGTGCTAGACCACTACACCAAAAGGAAGATAATTGATTAGATGACTCTAATCAATCACGCAGCTATATAAGGACATCAGCGCTTGTCGTAAACTGGCAGGTTTACATCCGGCCATGTACCAACCTCCTGAGAGACCTCAGGGCAGGTATCGTCCCCAGTATCCACCTTTCCAGCGGGAGCCATGGGCCGGCTGCGACAACGGGATAATGCGTCCCAGCATGTTCCAACCAGGCGAGTGCATGTTTTGTTCGGCTATGGGTCATTTCCTCCGCGAATGCCCCCTAGTGGTGGAATATATGCGCGCTGGAAAATGTTTCCAGAACAATGAGGGCAAACTTGTCCTGCCCAACGGGAGATTCGTTCCCTGAGCCATCATGGGACGTAACCTCGCCGAGAGAATTGACAGGTACCTGTCGGAAGGGAACTCCCAGAACCAGCCGCCCCAGAACTCAGGACCTCCTCGTCCCGCGCAGACGCAGACGTTCAAAAGGGATCAGCTGCCTCATGTGGTTTCCCCGATGTCATACACCGCCTGTGCTCCCGCCCAGACCCTCGCCTTCGGCTGAGTCCCTGTCACGGAGGATTCACAAGAGGAAGGCGTGGCGGTTTGGAGCACTGAGCGATGGGCAAATTCCAAGGAAGTCCCTGAGGTGGTAATGCAGAAAAGAGGCCCGATGAAGTCAGGACCCAAGTTCCCTTCACCTCCTGTACCACCAAAGGCTGCCCCTGCGAAACCACCGCACCCCCAGCCCGACCGTCCCGGCCAGCCGCCTGCATTAAAATACCAGGCGCCCATCGAAAACCCTATGCTCGTCAAAGCCGTAATCCAATGCGCCCTTAAAACTGAAATGACGATTTCTAACGAGGAATTGTGCACCAGATCACTGGAATTCCGAAAATATTATCGCGAAAACACCGTGACTAAGCAGATTCCCACGGTTGAAATTTCGATGATGGCCACCAGAGACGAAGGAGAAGAGGTAGAGGAGAGGCCCACGCTCGTACTTCGATGGGAAAGACAAGACGAGCCCAGGGACCTTTTGACCGCCTCCCCCATTGATTCCCTCCATGTCCTCGACGTCCTGGTGAACAAAACCTTGATGGTCGCTTGCATGCTTGACCAGGGCTCCGAGATCGTAGCCATGAACAGGCCGATTTGGCAGCAGCTCGGGGTATCGCTCGCGCCGGACAAAACACTAACAATGGAATCGGCGGACTCCAACCAGAGCACGACGGCGGGTGTGGTTGAAAACCTCAAAATTACGGTTGGAGATATTGATCTCCTCCTGCAGGTGCACATTGTGGATGGGGCGCCTTTCGACATATTGATGGGCTGACCCTTCTTCCGCTTCACGGAGTGCCAGACCAAGGATCGGACGGACGGGATGCAGGAGTTAGCGATCACCTGCCCTAACACGGGGAAAGTGATCTCCATTCCTACACGGCAGAAACCCCAGAAACCATCCCAGCTGGCCGAGGTGAACCCCTTCCAAACCTTCGACATAGATGGGATGGGTTTTGCCTGAAGGAGGACAAAAACCCGTGCCCTCTGCCATCAGCCACGGTCTCGACTATGTTTTGGAAAATTACGCCTTTGGAGTCCGAAAATAATGATCGTCCCATCCCTCTGACATTGGCAAAACCCACGCCGCACGTTCCGGGCTTCTCATTTGAACAGTTCAAGTCCCCTATGGTGCTTTATGTGCTGGAAGGGACCAACACGATCGACTGCCGGCCTATTTTTATTCACGACTCGACGATCCAATGGGAAATTTCCCCGTGATACCTGGAGTACTGCGTGGATCAAATGTACGATTACGACAACTCAGCCCACATGTAGATAAAGGGAGAGGTCTCTCCGGAAACGAAGAAGGCGAAAGTGAAAAAGAAAAAGTACAAGCCGGTGGCAGATTGGGTCCACTCGGTTGCGGCAACCCTGCCGGAAGACTTTCGGATTGTTCGGCATCTCCTATCAGATCCCCTCAAAGGTATGCCGGCGCTAAATCCACATCTGGCAGGGTTCGTCCCCGGGAAACAATATTCGGCTGAGAGGAGCGCTGAGATGAAAATCAACGAAGATGGGTTCCTATGGCCGGTGTGATGTGGACTGTGGTGCTTTAAACTGCCAGATGGTGGGGAGATCCGGGCTATGTTTAATGCTCGTCCTCTAGGGGGAATTTGTTCTGTCGCGGTAGACAAGTATGTAGGGGGGTTTAAATAATATTGGTGGGGATATCCGTACAAGGATTCGAACAGTTAGTTCAAAATCCTACTAGCTAGGGTGGTCCGAGCGAACTCCGATGCCTAGTTAGCCTTCTCGGGTTAACGGAGATTGAATCTGTTCCACACTTCCTTGGGGAGGAGCTTCGGAAGGCAATGCGGGGTCCAATTCGTCAAGTCCGAGGTGAAATATGGATTTGGGGGCTTCCTGGACCACGAACCACAGTCGTCCGAAGTATCTTTGAGTCGTAGAACGTAAGACCGGGGGATTTATGTGTTCACGATAACGTTCCGGCAATTCCTCCTCCCTTTACCCCTCTTTGTGCCTCTACGGAGTTTCCTCTCTCTACTTCTCACCCGTTCGCTTGCTGAAGGTGACTTCCTGTGGGCTCTGCACCGCCAACTTCCTTAGCTAGCAGCTACACACGAACTTCGAAGACCTCGTTGTGCTGTTTGAGAGATTTCACTGCCCTACTTGCATAGGGGAGGAATAAACGGTTCGATTTCTCCGGCGCTGAACTTTTTATGCCGAAATATAAACTCCGTTCGCTGTCTGACGGCGGCGGGGGAGTACCGGGGCCGCTTTACTGTGTAACTCGACTCCGGGTGACCTCTAGGTGATGTTCGGGGCGGATATTTAGCTACTCCTAAGCTGGCTAAGGCTTAGGTGAGGATGTGGGCCGAAACTGAGATGATATTTTGGTAGACTAGCTGTAGTATTTATACCCCAGCCCAAGGCTGTGCCAGAGTTGTTCCTTTGTGTCCCATACCTGCTCGCTCGCATGCTCCTCCGCCCCGGAGTTCGCTTATGACTCATTCTATAACTCCGTGAACCCTTACCCGCACCATCTTCGGTCAGGCACCGATTCCGCAACCCGGACTTGTTGGCCCTAGTCTCGGACACTCCATGTCCGGTCCTAACTCCCTTCCTATCCACTTCCGCCTGCGACGGCTCGATAGCGTAGTGGAAAAAACGCACTCCGTATCCTTTCACCCCAGTGTTTGACTTACGGAGAGTCCAGAGTTCGATCCTCCGTCGAGCCTTTTCCCTATGCTACCCACCTTTTTGATCACCCAGAGTTCTCGTTCCATCCTTTTGGGCCACTTGGTATTCACGACTCGATGGTGTAACTGTAACGCATCCTGCCATGGTTCTTGCACAAGCACGTCTTTTGCAGGAAGTCCGGAGTTCAATCCTCCGTCGAGCCATCCCTCTTTTCCATTCCTTTTTGTGCACCTCCTACCAGACCTTCGTATCGTTCGCACACATGGTCCGGTGGCGTAGTGGTAACGCACTGTTCACGTAGCTGGCGGGAAACTGAAATAATGGAGGGACCGGAGTTCGATTCTCCGACGGGCCCGTTCTTTTTGTCCATCAAGTAAGAAGATAGGGCACGGTTTTGAACGGTTCAGTGGCGTAATGGTATCGCACTCCGCATTCCTATGAAGTTCGCAGTATGCTTTACGGAGAGTTCGGAGTTTGATTCTCTGCTGAGCCATTCCGACGGAAACCATTCTTTTTATGGTGATGATCTTGACTGGTCGTTCGACTCCTACGGCTTGATGGCATAATGGTAACGCACTCCGTAATATGCACATTTTTATATCGATTGACGGAGAGTCCGGAGTTCAATTCTCCGTCGAGCCATTTCGACGGAAACCCTTCTTTTTACGGTGATCGTCTTGGCTGGTTGTCCGACTCCTCGTAGTGGTAATTGTCATTTTTGGTGGTCCAGTCATGGCTTGGTGGTGTAATGGTAACGTGCTCCGTGTACCTAACATTCTCATATCAGTTGATGGAAGGTTCGGAGTTCGATTCTCCATCAAGCCATGTTGGGTCTGGATATGATTTTTTGTCATGGTTCTTTGTGGCTTGGTAGCGTAGTGGTAATTGTCATTTTTGGTAGTCTGGTCATGGCTTGGTGGCGTAATGGTAACGCGCTCCATGTACCTAACATTTTCATATCGGCTGATGGAAGGTTCGGAGTTCGATTCTCCGTCAAGCCATGACTTTTTACTCGGAGTTGGTCCTTTGTGGTCTTGAGTTCGATTCTCGAATGGCCTGTTGGCGTAATGGTAACGCATTCCGTGCACCTATAGCATTCGTATATCGGTTGACGGTTCAGAGTTTGATTCTCCGTCAAGCCACTAGTTGGGTCCGGATATCATTTTTAGTTGAAGGCTAAGTTCTCGGAGTTCGGGGTTTTGAGGTCACGTCGGGAGCTATCACAATGTGATGGCTCACACCGGAAGAGGAGAAGCTGGTGCACCAGGTCATCAGGAATCATGAGATGGCGTTCGCATGGGACGAAACGGAGAGAGGTCACTTCCGCGAGGACTATTTTGAACCGGTCAAAATCCATGTCCTAGCCCACACCGTGGCAGGAGAGAAATATCCCAATACCACTGGGGATCAGGGACGAGGTCATCAAAATAATCAGAGGGAAAATCAAGACAGGGGTTTATGAACCGTCCAGTTCGTCCTACCGGACCAATTGGTTCGTGGTTCCGAAATCCAACGGTTCCCTCCGCCTTGTCCACAACCTCCAGCCGCTCAATGGAGTTGTCATAAAAGACAGTGGATGTCCGCCCATAGTGGAAGTCTACGTGGAGTCCTTCGGCGGATGTGCGGTCTACAGGATGTTCGACCTATTCATTGGGTTTGATCACAGGATGCTCGATGTTGCCTCACGGGACTTCACGTTCCAGGGACCGTTCGGCACCCTTCGTCTCACCTGCCTCCCCCATGGATATACCAATTCGGTCCAAATCCAACAAGGCGACATTTATTTCATCCTCCGGGACGAAATTCCCCATATCACCCAGCCCTTCGTTGACGACACCCCGGTCAAAGGCCCTATGACTTACTATAAAAAGGAGGACGGCTCGTTTGAAACCATTCCGGAAAATCCAGGAATTTGCAGGTTTATCTGGGAACACATGGGAAACATCAATCGGATATGCCAGCGAATCAGACACGCTGGCAGGACGTTTAATGCGAACAAATCCTTCTTCGCGGTACCCCGGATAAAGGTCGTTGGGCACGTATGCAGCTTCGAAGGCAGAACGGCCAACGAGGCCAAAGTGCAGAAAATTCGCGACTGGCCTCATTGCCAGGATTTAACAGACGTCCAGGCATTTCTCGGAACGCTCGGACTGATGCGAATCTTCATCAAGGATTTCGCCAGGCACGCGAGGCCCTTGGTCCAATTGACCCGGAAGGACGCGCCGTTTGAATTTGGCAGCGATCAGCAGGAATCCATGAAAATACTAAAGCAACTCCTCATCGACTCCCTGGCAATCCAACAGATTGATTACGCCTCCGGCAGACAAGTCATACTGGCCGTCGATTCATCCCACATAGCCGTTAGGTTCATTTTGTACCAAGTTGGCAAAGATGGGAAGGAATATCCATCCCGCTTTGGCTCGATCACCTGGAACGAACGAGAGTCACGGTATTCGCAGGCAAAATTGGAGCTCTACGGGCTGTTCCGCACCCTGAAAGCGTGTAGGCTGTACCTTGTTGGCATCAAAAACTTGATAGTACGGGTTGACGCCAAATACATCAAGGGAATGCTGAACAACCTGGACATTCAACCCAACGCCACCATAAATGGAGGATTGCGATGATGGAGGTCACCAATCATAGGATGCATTGCAGGATGGCAGTCTCAATTCTCAAAAATGTTTTGAGGGTGTTGGGGGCTTGAAATACAGTGAAAAATGGAGCTTTTAGCAGCGGTGCAGTAGTATACACGAAGGGAGAGACACGAGGGGCAAGACATGGCGTCTTGCTAGGTACTTTTCCACCATATTTGTCAATATTTTTTTTGCCGTCTGCGTTGTTTTTTCCACCGTATTTGCCGATATTTTCATCTGTCTGTGGTGTTTTTCCACTGTATTTGTCGATATTTTTTCTTCATGGGTGGGTGGGGCTCTTGGATATATGATATGTGCAATGTAAATCTAAGCGTATAAATTGGGATTGTTTGAAGCCTACTTTGGGAGATACTGGGAGTGGGAGATATCAGCAGGTGGAGGAAGTTGGCTGGGTGATTTCTACTGGTTTAGATTGATTGTACCAGTCAGCCAACTGTTGGTCCAATTCCAGTAGCCCGCATGTAGGGCCTCTGGCATCTTTTTTTTTTTTTTCTCCCCTTTTTTGGGGGGGTGGGCCGGTTGGTAAGGCAGAGCTGGGAGTGTTGGGTCCATCCATCGCGAGATTGTGCTTTTTACTAGATATACATTTTTCTAAGGACAGTGGCTGGTATTGAAGTGGTAGGGAGTGTAGGCTGGGTCGATTTGGACCAACCGCCGGTGATTTAATCACTTTGGAAGGTGGGTTCAACAAGGTGTCTTGGCATATGGACCCTACAAGTCAAGGCTAGACGACTTTGCAAGTTGGGTTCTGCCAAGGATTTTCTGCTGGTTGCTGGTTGTATTTTTATATCCAGCTCTTTCTTTACAGTTGGAGCAATACTTGGCTGGGGATATGCAGGAGCCACCAAAGCCTGGCGGTGAAGAGGAAAGCGGGCTGGAATTATAACTTTATAACTTTCTCCCTTGCATCAGCCTGCAGTATTGGAATATGTGTTTGGACTATGACATTCTTGCTTACTTAGTTGTAGTTACTATAGTTACTGGTCACCTGACTGCTCAGTCATGCTGACTGATATGCTTATTGAGCATTCCCCATTTGATTATCATGCTTACTGATCCACTTACTCATGCTTAGTGATCACCTTACTTATGATTACTCATCTACCTATCTACTGTATATATAAGTAGCCTAGCTTAGACTGGAGTCCTGAGTTTCTCACTGTTGACTTCAGACCACTGTGCTTGCCTGTTCTAACACGCAGTTGGTTCGATTCCAGCTCACTGTACTTGTCAGTGATTTTCTCGTTTTTTGAACATTGGGGGGTTTTTTTTTTAGGGGAGGGGGCCAAGGGTTGGAATTGGTGCAGAGAATAGCGGGGTAATAGTTGGTGGATACATAGAGTAAATGTGGTGGTGTATTGGAAGCGGGCTTGGCAAAATTACACTACTCTTTCCAGGCCCACTGCTGGTTCAACTCCAGCAGGCTGCACTGAGGATGTGGTCTTTGTCCTTTTTGAATTAAAAGGTAGCGGTGAGGGGTGGATCAGTCTCTTTGACTGGGTAGACCTTACTTGAGCGTTAGCGTTTTGTTTGTTGCCAAAGATGGTAATGACTTGCTACTTGCTCATGATCCTCACTGGTGCACTGTCACCTGGTGAGAGTGGCTTGGGCTTGCATGCTACATGGTGTCTCTGAAGCAACCCAATAGTACAGACCACCATCCAGCATTTTCGCTTTGGTCTCTGCCTGCCGGGCCTCCCAGTCGCACATGGTGTCCTGATTCAACCTATACAAGGAAAAATGTGCATGAAATCAATCTTACCTTGTGGTGCCATTGACTTGCCCTAGTGCCAGCCACACCATTCAAATCTGGGGACCCTCCATCAAAGGCACAAACATCAGACCTATTGAGATTGATTATGTCCTTGCTACCAAAGGAATGTAGCAGCAGTGTATGAAATGTAGAGTGTAATCCATAGCCAACTACAGTGGCATGGTGTAACAATTCAAAAACTCCATCTTGTGTGCCGGTTCGATGCTGGCAGCCCGCTCTTTCATTTAGGCATTCAATTTTTTTTTGTGGGGGAGATGTAGCCCAACTGCTTGCACTCTTGCTTGAGTGCATCTACAGGGTAAATATGGCGGTATATTGGAAGTGGGCATGGCAGAATTTCACTCCTCTTCCCACCTGCTATCATACCCACTGCTGGTTCAACTCTGGCGAACCACAATTGTGGTTGAATGCCCTTTTTTTTTTTTTTCACTGCAACACTGGAGTAATACTTGACTAGGGATATATTTAACGTAGTGTATATAGTTGGGGCCAGTACCATTAATATACTACTTTGTGCCTTGCTCGAGTACTAGTATACGGCATGGTACCGCAGGACTCAGACACAAAAGGTGGTGGAGGAGGTTGTCTGGTCTCTTATAAGTCTTCCTTT